AAAAAAAGAACAGAAAGAATAGCTAACTTTTCATGACTACTCCTATTTTATACTGTGCACACATATTAATCAAAATTTAAGTTGTTTGGCGAGCAAGATAGCTCAGTGGACTAAGTGCCTGCTTAGTCAAGTACAGGGACCAGGGTTCAATAACTGGCACCACATGCCATGCCAGCCATGCCCCTGGGCACACTGAGCTGACCACTGAGTCTGCATTGTGGCGTATACCTGTTATCCCACAGAAGGCTCACTATGAGTTTAAGCTACATAGTGAGTCCCTATACCAAATACATTTAAATTGTTTCTTGTTTATAGATGAAAAGCCACACCAAAGTTTTATGTAATCACTCATTTATAAATAAAGGCTACTGATTTTGCTCTGGTTTGAAGAGACATACTCTTCTTCCCTCCTAACCCCATGACGTTAGGGAGACACACTCCCTGGAACATGATCCCCTCTGAGTCAGTCTTCTTCGCTGCCTGCTTTCCTCTCTTCTTGGGTTGCTGTTTCCTGGAAGCTGAGGCTGGACTTCGGAGAGGGAGGCCAGAGCAGAACAGCATATTACTATTTACTGTATTGTGCTGCCCAGAACCTACACTTTATGAATGATTTCTGGAATTTTCCACTTATTTTCTACAATGGCCTGTAGACCATGAAACTGCAAGTAAGGGAGGAATGCTGACTGTGAAGAAGTGTGCCAGAACTTCATGGGTCACCGCTTACCTGTACATTGTATAGACAAACACAAATGGAGCTACAAGGCACTTTTCCAAATATTTTTATTTTCAGTACATATACTTAATGTCAGATGAGACAGTATCTTTTGGATCCTTTAACAATATGACAAAATTTTAAAATGAGCACTGTACTTACAAATAACTACTGTCAATTTTTATCTGACTTTCTGCCTGCTTGCCTGGCAAGCGTAGTCTTAAGTTCAATCCTCAAGCTCCCCTCCTCCCCCAAAGTGACTTTCATGCAGACCTTTAAATTTCTTTTTTAATTTTTATTTATTTATTTGATACAGGGTCTCACTACACAGATCAGATTCATAGTGACGCTCCTGTCTCAGCTTACCCAGTGCTGGGATTACAGGTATACACTACCATGCCCACATTTTGTTTTTGGTGGGGGGCAACACAAGGCACTCCCAAGGTTCCAGGAAGTGCAGCATGTGGTACCGAGCGAGGATCGAACTTGAGTCCTTGTGCTTGCTAGGGAGGCACTTAGACCACAGAGCTATCTTCCCCAACCCCAGACCTTTAAATTTTAATACATCATTTTATAATACAATGTCATTATCATTAGAATACAATTTTAATCAATTAAAATACAATTTTAACCAATACTGAATAATTCTCTGGAATTTATATTTTATATTTTTAACAATATGAGTTTAAAATCTAGTGAGAGATGTACACTTTATAATGGTGGACACTAGTACTTCAGGATCAAAACCAAATCTGTTATATAAGAGAAATTTAGATTAAATCACCAAAGATAAATTAAAGTTGTAATATAAAATTATTTTGAATTGTAAATGAACAGTTCGGTATAGCTAATTTAGGACTGTAAAGTAAAAATGACAGCATTTTTATCTCTTACTTGATTTACAGGGATTTAGAAATGAGATACACCAAAAAGAACAGTAGATTTTAAAGACCAGAGGTACACAGAATACTAATAAAGATCATAAAAGTGTTTACCAAATATCAAACTTTACTACTTACTGAGAGTCTTAAATACTGCTTTCAATTACTTTTTATTAACTGCTTCCAAAAATCGTAACAGGTGTAAGAATAGATTGATAATATCCAAGTAGAGGCTGATAGCAGCTAATACATACTCTTCGGGAGATAATTTATGCATTAGTGAGTGAGTGTCTAAAATGATAAATCCACAGAAAAGAAGGGCTCCTCCCGCAGCTAAGACCAGCTCCATTGTCTCACTGTGAAAAAACACCTACAGGCAAGAGATTAAAGAAATGCATTCCTATTTGGAATCATATTAACAATACTTAAGTTACTGTTATTACTATTACTATTTTGAATACTTATGTTAAAAAGAGGCAAGGCAGATCTAAGTTTGTTTCTGTTTGACAGAAGGACGAATGAATAGTTATCATTTTTTCTTTTGATTTATCTACCCAACTTTGAAAACTAGTATTCCAAATACAAATTATTTTAAAATCTACTTCAGTTTCACAATTAAATGTCACTTGGAGGATGGCAGTGGTTACAATTGTGGGCCTTCTGCTGTGTAGTTTTTCTTTTGTGTACCAGAGATCAAACTCAGGACCTTGTGCTTGCCAGTCAGGTGCTTCTGCTGCTGAGCTATCTCCCTGGCCCCTTTTGCTATGTAATGTAACAACTTGCTCATTCATCTTTCAGTCTATAGCAATGATAAACAGCCTTGATTAG